TGTGTTATTGAAATATTAATTACCAATTGAAATGCTAAAATAGATATTCTTGCAACAGTCACAGAGTCATATCAATAAATTTAACTACTGAATTTAGATATTTTTTTAATAGAAAAACCTAGGCGGCTATCTCTTATTACAAGCTTTTATTTAATTTTTTTAAATAAAACAACAAAGTGATTTGTAAGATTGGATAGAAATAATTTTAAGTAAAGTTTTAATTTTCCTAATGACTACACCACAATTGCAATTAGCAATTGCGTAAAGTGGTTTATTTGAAATCGTCTAGAACAAAAGCAATAAAAAGCTGCCATGATTTAACCAGCTGTGGCGAACCTCTCTTAAAATTAAATTAATATTCAAAATTAATTAAATATATAAGTATGTTTATTGTATCGTGCATTAGGTAGTTGTTTTTAGACGAAATGGCGAATTATATATTTTTGGGGATATGCCGATTTTAAAGTCATTAAATGCTACAGACAGATATTATCCATGAAAGCAATATCAACTTTTGCGTATAGAATAAGTTAGTAGTATAGAGTATAATGTTTAATTTTATAACAAACTAGCTGACCCAGCGAACTTCGTACCGCCATAAAAATAGGGGCAAGTGGGAGAAAAGAAAATTTAGGGTTGTATGTATTTTTTAATACCACATTATAAAAAAAAAATATTGTCCAAAAAATGTTAGGGGTGTGTAACGTAGTGTTCTTATCAATTTCCTGGGATAACATTCCTCCTAACCCATATGAGAAGGCTACGTTACAATACCTAATAGTTAGAATTTTATAGGTTTCAAAACACTACGTTACAGGTGGACAACCATTATCACTTAAGAATATGAAAAATAGATAGTAGCCGAAGCCTACGGAATATCTATATAAAATTTCATAAAAAACGGTCAAGCCGTTTCGGAGGTTAGTTACCATACTCCTCCGAAACGGCTTGACCGTTTTTGTGACACGAGAATTTTATATATAAGATATTCTAGGTTTGTTGTTTTTGAGTAGGTGATTGCGGAAAGACACAATGTATTAAACATGTAAAATAATTCATTGTAACACAAAAAGGAGCTACTGGCCAACAGTCTGTAGATTAAGAAATAATAAAAAAAAACATCAGTATTTGGTATTTTTGCATTAGGGAGCTGAGAAAATAGATCCCTGGCGTTCAAAGTTTCCTGTTGCCTACCTAAGATTTTACCTTCGCCGCTATTATTAAACTTGGAAGACCTAAGCTTTACCGATCTAAGTATTATATTAATACCGGTGAAATTCAAAAAATCAGTGTAACTTAAATGTAATTACTAGGTAGAACTAATTTAAAGTCAAATGTTGTGGAGATGGTCGTAGGGAGCTTTAGAGCTTTTACATAATGAATTATTAAATTTTAACATTCGGTAAAACTTAGAATAGTAATTCTATTTTATATTCTTAGTACCTTTTTACCAGTAGGTACCTATTTATAACAGACATAACTAACAAAACTGAATTAATACATGTTTTATTCATAATGTTAATACCTATAGCAATAGCAAAATAGAAAATCTATTTTGAGTTAGTTTAATTTAAAACTAAAAAAAGTTAGACCAAATAAAAACATGAAGTGATTATTTTTTTAAATTGTTGAAGTGATTATTTTTCCATGAAGATAAATATCAATAGAAAGATGTTTTTGTCATCAATTTTGATCCATTATAATTATCTACAATTGCATTCAATAAATTTATCTTTAAATAAAGATAACAAGATGAAAGGTACTCTATGAAAAATATTTAGTTAACGTAGGCACAAGTTATTATTAGTTTACAAAAACTTTTGTACTTATTATAATTGGAAAAAATAACCTAATATAAGAATTGGGCATGGTTTCGCAAAAGCTCCGATAATAATCATGAAGGCTTCTGACGAAAAAACTTGAGTCAGGCAGTCGAGTACTCGAAAGCTACTTAGCGAAGAATTACTTTACTCCCACACTTGCATTAAATGCATCCACAATTCATAATGGAAAATGACCTTTGCTGGTTGGCTATAGAGTCTAATTTCGTTCGTCGCTGTCTCGTCCCGCCTACTTTGGGCGGTATCCCCCCTATCGCCGTTCGCATTGAGTGCGTTCACACGACTTGCTTACTTTTTAAATTTTAATCACAACTCCGCCGTTGATTTGGAGAAAGAGAAATGGACTCGGACTCGAGCAATAATTGCTGTTACATCGATCTTCAAACTATTTAATTAACAAATGTATTAATATTTAGGCGTGCTCGTAAAACAATAATAATGTTTGCTTTTTTATTAGCATTATAGCATTTTTATAATAGAATTTCAACTATGAAGATGAAGAGATAAACCATATTAATTGGGAAAAAAACTGTTTTATTTTGCCCACAAACAGTAGATGAGGAATTAAGAAAAAAGAGCGGAAAATATTCAATTATTTATTTTTCTTAGTTACTGAATATAAATTATAAAATGTGATAAAGTTTAACGGTTTCTGAGTTTTCATTAGGAACAAATTTAGGTAGATATAGATAAGTTCATATTTCTTAGTCTATTTATTTTTCTGCAACACGAATATAATGAATAAAATAAAGAAAACTTGGTTACTATCTAATTTGGCAAACATTTCACATTTTTTTTTACTAAGTACTAAGGAGTTTTAAAGTAATTGAATGTAATTTGTAATAGCTTTGTTGTAAGTAGCCTTTTTAGGATATATATATATATATATATATATATATATATATATATATATATATATATATATATATAGCATTTTTTATGTTTAAGTTGAGAATAAAAGTGCAGAAAATATTGCACTGATCACTTAGCTGAAACATCTAGTTTTTTTTTATATTTTTCTACTATATTTATATGTAGCTACTCTAGGTACAAAATTATGGTAATTTAAATACTTCAACAATACATAAAATTCAAATAGGTACACTACTCAAAAAAGACTTAAATTCTAATATTTTTATACGATCAAAAGAGGTTTCCAATTAATAGTGTAGGTGGAGTATCTACGCAAAAGCTTACGAAATTTAATATTCACAATATGCTGCAAATGAAAATCATGTTTTTCTTACAGTACCTATAGAATAACTAGGTAGAACTAGAAAATAGTCACGCATTTCTTTAAGACTGTTTAATAGTGTGAATTATTAGATCCATTTAGTGTCTTCTAAGATAACTAAGTACAATAATCTTTCTAAAGTACGATAGAGTCTATAAATTGTAATTTAGACTAAATACATTTTCTTAGTATTTTTGTGCCATAGGAATTAGGTAACTCTTCTTCTTCAAAATAGTTTTTCGCTCAACTTAAAATAATAATTAACTTAATTTTTTGCTACATATTCCAGAATATAAAATAAGTTTTTTACACATCAATATGCAAATAAGATGTAAATATTAATGGCAACAAATTTTTGTTTCCCGCGATTAAGTTCTGATTGAATTTTCTCTTTAGGAAGTGAATTTATTAAAGTTGGTGTACGACATTTACTTATAGCCAAGACATGAATGAAATACAAGAAAAGTCTTGATGTATATTAATGTTAAACGATGTTTATAGTTAGTGGGATTTCTGCTGCAAAGAACCAGATTCGCTTCTATTAGAAAGATATCCGATCCTATAAATTTTGATTTATCAAGTGATCTGGTCTTATTTCACATTTTCGCTTCCTGAAACCGGCAGGTGGTTTCAGGACGCGAAAATGTGAAATTCAGCTAACCTTATGATTATAGTGGAATAAATATTTAATTAGGTATTCAATTTAAGTATAGGTATTAGAGAAATAATATTTTTTTCCGGATTGTCTCCATTGGTAATTAATGAGAAATGTAAGTACATATAAGATTATTTTATTTAATATCATTAAAATATCTTAAGACTTAGATATGTTGAAATGTTTGGACGATGATGATTTATGGTATTTCACAGAAATCTGATGCCTGGCCTAAATAAGCAACAAATAATAAGGCCTTAACTTTGTACTCTCGCAAGAATTTCAGTAATGCGTAGGTACAAAATCGGTTAAGTTAAAGCTACCAACGAAATAAACAAAATGAAAAGTAATAAATACACTTGCTGAAATCTACAAAATAGTAATATTGCTCGGTCACAAATGGCAAATACACGAGCATTTGTGGGGCCATTACCGGCTCTCCGTCGATAAGCTTTACTGCCAAGCGACATGCTTAGTTTCAACTCTCGCACTTAATAAATTATTATAAATACGAAAGTCTGCGCGTTCAATTTTCCGCAAATTTGATCTAGCGCCATAAACTCACGATTGCCGGATAGAGGCATTGGTTAGTTGGTGACTGTTATGCTAGTGAAACTGTTTCGATAGAGTTAACAATGATTGATTTTTAAATTTATAACTTTATTTTCATTGGGATAGCTTTCTCAGTTATTTTAAAAGTGCTCATGTTATTCAATTGAGATATTATTTGTATGGTACAATTATTTATATTGACATTTTGCTTATAACGATCAGTTTTGAAAAGTGAAGTTTTAAGATCGGATTTCACTTGCATAAAAAAAGAATTGTGAAGTGTAGCGCCGGAGATAGTCTATTAATGTTCTCATCTCGTAATAGCCCATTCACTTGATACGTTTTGCATCGTGTAATAAAGAAGAGGCTTATTTATTTATTCATGACATTATAACCGCGAATATTCTCATGCAAGTACGTAATTGGTCGGCCCATCCCATCGGCGACGAGCTTTCAGTGCATAAATAGTGATGCGAAGCGGCGGCGCACCGAGTAATGCGAATAAATACATCGATACGATCAACTTACCGTTTAACGAGAGAGTCTTTTCCGTGCCGCGGTGAGCCATTTAGCGAATTTCAATAGTTATCGCGCGGAGAAAAATCGCTCGTTGAAAGAGAAGGAGCGAGCAGTGCGGCCGGCGCGAGTGGGACGGCCGCAATAAGAAAGAAGTAATAAAAAAGCGGTTGTGTGTGCGTGGTCGGAGTGTGGTGGCACGGGGCGGCGATGCAAGCCCCTCCTTGCGGCGCCCGCCTCGCGCTGCCGCGCCTCAGTCGAGTCGACAGCGCGCCAACTCGCAGCGGTCCGTTCTTGTCGCGTCACGGGCGCGCGTAAAAAGTTTTACAGACACTCCGAAACTTGCGATCTTTGCGCCGACACCAAACTGATGCTATACATTGTTACGCTCCACGTAGACCGGTGTTTTATTTAGGACTATATCATAATATTTGTGCTTAATTTTCATATTGTGGTATCTTGTAAATAAAAAAAAACGTTTTGTAAACTTTTTTCGGCGAAACAAACTCCGTATCTCGATTCGAACAATAGATTTTGATAAGCTAGTAAGGTTGATTAGGAGTGAATGGTGGAGGACGTCGACGTAGCGTCAAGATATCAACTTAGTTTGCGGGTGCGCAGGCTATGCCAGAGCTCGCATATGGGATGTTCAGACGGTGACGCGTGCGAGAGGCCGGGCTCGGAGGCCAACTTGATGCTGGTGCAGGCTGAGGGCCGCGACCGGCCCGCCATGGAGGAGGAGTGCTCCGCGAGGCCGTGCGCCACAGACTTCTCCATCGCCGCCATAATGGCCCGGGACAGACAGGAGAGGAGAGAACGGCGGAGGCAAAGGGACCCAAGGGAAGATACGCTTATGCCCCTAGGTGAGTTGAAAAATTTTCTACATTGGGTACTTCGAAAAACTTACATCGGCAACGGATACTTATTAAAGCTGAAAAGCTTTACCTACCATTATTATTATCTAGGATGACCTATTGTGCTGAACCTAACCGGCAAAAAAATCAAGAAATGCTGCTTACACGCAACGTCGCCGTCGTAACTTGAAAAAAATCATGCACAATAAGAATTCAAACATTGATTTTGATTTAATATGTCATGCAGTACAAACATATTTTTTTATTTTCATATTTTTAATAAGCACTTTCGACATAAAAATGCATTAATATATTGCTCCACCAATTCATTGGAGAATTTTGTAAATATACTAAAACACTGTCGCTAAAGAAACGTACTAGTAAATAAAGTAAATACTCAAAAAAATTAAGTATAAGAAAATGATAATTATTCAAATACCTAAACACTTGATCACTTTTTTATTATTTTTTGATATACCCTATCAAATTATTAGGTAATAATAATATGAGTTTAATTAAGACAAAAATCAAATTAAAAGTATAAAATCTTTTTAATAAAAAAAATAAGAATAATTATTTTGTAAGATATTTTGTAAATAATATTATTATTTATTATTGACTTAAAAAACTATGTTGTCGATAATGTAAGCCCTTAAACAAATTTAAAATAAACAAATACGTGTTTAAAATTACAAGAGATATTAACCGCAACAGTACCTGACAACGGCAAAAGTAACCTATTAATTTTTATTTAGCCAAGACAAGTTAAGTAGTTTAATTTATTTTTACTTTTAAGGTATTTAAGTGCTTATTATGTTTAAATCTAAAGAAAATGTTATAGGTACTAGAAAAGCCACTCAGTTTTAGGTGGCCCGTCCCGTCTGAAACCTAGACCGAGAGTATATTTTCTAGTACTAATTTCATCATATTTAAGCTAATTACTTGTCTAAATAAATAAAAACCTTAAAGGCCTTATCACAGAAGAAGAGTTAAATAAAATAAGTTTTCTGGTAATTTTTACTTTTTTATTTGTCTTTTTTTATTGATTTATAACACAATAAGTCTTATTTACTGCTCGTCAAAACATTTTATAAATATGAATATTCGTTTCTTATCAAAGCGACCATTTCGTTGGTTAATCCGAGTGCATAAACTTTATAGGTCATGCAATTATATTTACTAATAACACACCTTTTGTACGTTATTATTTAAGTTTTGTATTTTTTTGTAATTGTTTTTTCGTGTACAATAAAATATTAAATAAATATATTTTTGCAAACTTTAGAGCCTTATCGCAGATTCAGCTATGTTTTGTACAAAACAAACACTTATTAAATGTTACAGTTCAATGGTTAAAAAATCAATAACTGCAATAAACTCATTCAATATAATTTGGAAAGTATTAGAAACACCTGGACTAACTGTAACAATAAGTAGGTATACCTAATACCTAGTAATGTCGGACTTCTTGTAATAAATTTGCCTCTATTTTTAACAAATTTAGAGATTTATTCAAATATGTTGCTAGGTTTACATCATTTCATATAACGTATTACTCGAATTAGATATATTGTTTATACTCTCAACATAAATAAAAAAATCAATATTTCCGATTGTCATTACTAAAGTAGGAGGGAGGTTACTTAAATTAAATAATATTATGAAGCGTGATGCAAAACTACATGCCTATTAAAACTTATCTTTAGCTCTGTATTATTGTAAATAGAAATTTATTATCAGAAGAATTGCAGCTTAACCTAGGAATGCTATGAATCACTATAACCGAAATTGTGTCCGAAATGAAAATTTATCAAAAATCGTAACCGACGTAGATTTAATATTTTCGCAGAGACGGGGTCTAAATAAGGTTCGATATGATACGGTCAATTTCTTCCCTTTTACAATGTCTTAAAAAATTCAATTTACTATCCAAACTATCGGATAATACGACATAATATCATATCCGTTACGGCACATGAACACAGTAAACTTTAAGCTTTACCATTAAGCAGGTTAATCAAACTTTTTTTTCTATAATAATGATACAATTATATTTGTTGATATTCATTCATGCTAATGGTACAGCTGTGTGGAAGTAAGGGGAAATTTCTTTGTGAATGCAACTGATGCAGAATATATTTTTATTAGAATAAATACCTACTAAATACTTTGTAAGTATCATCAGATCTTTCATCAGTCGTCGAGATTCATCATTACAAACAATTTCTCAACTTAGTAAATTCCATTTAGTTTCAATATATGCAGTATAATATTATTTCCAGTGTATAGAATATAATGAGAATTAATCATTATTACTTTTAATAAATAACCGCTACAGTATAGAAGAAAAAAACAGCGTCATTCTATTCTAATCTTTAAATAGCTACTTTGACTCCTTGCAAAAAATATCAAACATTAATAAATTCGTTTTGGACACTCTTTTGGGAAGCCAATGAAAGTCGCCTGTAGGTAGAAACATGGATTATAACTTTAATATCCAAATATGGTAAGCATAAAAGGCTCCCTACATTAGATTTTAACGCCCAAAAAGATATTGCAAAAGAATGTGTTTGTGTTATTCGATTTACTTACCTGCATAAAAATATTATCATTCAATTTATAATTTTTGCATTAAAATATTATCAAATATGTTTATCCGTTTCAGATTTACATGATTTTGCATGTGCTTAGAAGCACATGAAGAGTTTACATGTGCTTAGTTTATTATCTATAGAATGGTCGTGACTCTTGGAGTTTGAATTAGTTGGCTAATCTTAGTGGACTCAGTCATTGTTGTTAAGATTGTATTTAATGTTGAAAATGTAGTTTATAATATATCAAATCATCAGTTTCATATTAGTAAAAGGGGTTAAATTTTAAAATATCAGCTGAAAGGAGACTTTTAATTTGTGCCCAATTTTGCACCTTGGTATAAATTATCTCTAAGAACATCTAAAATTTATACTTAAAAAGACGCACTCATCGAAATCTTAATAAATTCAATAAAAAATGTTGAAAATCTGAATTAAAATAGGGAATCTGCATATTAAGCAACATAAATACTTTTGGTTGAAATAAATTTCCTTGATTGTGATTATTTCTATCAAAAATCTCGTGGTTTCCGTAGCTACCTAATTGTTATTAGCTTAAAGATACACATTCACCATAATATAATTATCTGTGTTGCCATAAATTCAAATGTTTGAACGACATTTTTATGTGATACAAGTGGATAATAAGCTCCAAGTATATTTTGGTTGAATTCGGCGTATTTTCTGCACATAATTGCATGATAATACTTGAGGTTACAAAATTGGGCAGAGTTTTATGTAGAAAAGAATGGATCCTTTATATATTTAAGGTAAAACAAATCATATTCGTGAAATTAAAGAAAATATAAGTTTGCGAACTGCGATTTAAAGTAACGATACCCAATATGATATATAAATAGTGTTGTGACCTCAAATGTGAAATAATAAAGAAATTGTTTAAAAATGCAGTTCCCTGGTCACTAGAAACAAGGTTATAAAAAATAAATTGATAAAGTATGAGAAAAAAGCTCATTTTTATCGAACATTAAACGATGAAATGTATAATACGGTTAAATTAATTTCGTTACACAGCTGATGTTGAGGTTGTCGAAATATTTACGGGCGAGAACACTAATTAATAACTGTCAAAAATCAAACTCCACTACGAATTATGAGCAGATAACTACGTTTTCAAGCGAATACATAGTATATTATAACAGATACAGTATTTGTTTTTGAAGCAGTTTTCTAACAACATAATAAAACAGTTTTGTTAATGATTTACAAAACTAGATATTCCGTGTTTGAAATAAATACAAAATAAAATACTCTGTAACCAAACAACAAATAAATCGTTAACTTAACTAGATTGTGTTTGTTTAAAGCTCTTTCATCTCATTTACTACGTTGATTATAAATTCAATAGTAAATAGATTAAAAAAGTTAATGAGCACACCGGCATAAATGAATCCGACAAAATTATATTTTTATATCAACGCGATCGAATTATTTCAATGGGTACTCTCACAGTGATCTTGTTCATAAATAACAACTGAATAAATGGTTAACAGAATGTGTAAGCTCATAAAAATTCATGAGTACATTACATACAAAAGGTGTTCTAATATTCCTAAAATGGAAAACGGGTCCATGTGTACACCAATCTCTCCACCACCCTTATCATAATATACTTTAAGATAGGTAGGACATAGCGGATTTTCCGCTTGAATTTGAGCGCCCGTCTGGGGGAGTAACCTCCACCTTATAGAAAAGATCACAGTAAAAACAAACATAACCCCATGAAAAGGTAGGTAGTGTTAACTAGCTTTTCGTGGTGTTATCTTGCTGTCGGGTCGCAAAGTTCTAGGCTCCCCGGGGTAGGGGATTGGATTAGTAGGGTAGGCAACACGAACGGTGCGAGTGATATTTTGGCATCGCAAGCGTCTATGGTCATAACCTGAAGACGCTTGCGATGCCATGGCCATCATATGGCCGCTTACCATCAGGCGGGCCATATGGTTATAGGCTACTTTTTGTAATGAAAATAAAACTTCAAGAATAGGCATGAAGCGATGCACGGAGGAGCTCAAGATAATTAATTTTTGGTCACCCATCTGATGACTGACCATTGCGAAAGTTGGGGTCAGAGTAGGCAACGGTTATCACTTTTACTATATGAACGGAAGATACAGCTGGCCCATTGTGAGGTCTTCTCCTTCCAGTCCTACAGGTATGATAGGTTGTTCATTATACCTACTGATCATTGAAAAATAGGTAGGTACCAGGAAAATTAAAAATTTCGGGTTACCAGCAGGGCTTATAAATTGTTATTATTATTTTAAATTGGTGACTGCTGGATAGCATTTTATGTGATAAGGTATTGTCCTCGAGCATTATCCATTTAACTAAAATCAACATTTTACAATTAAGATTATATTTTGCTATTGCCACAGTCTGGTTAATTTCATAAATTCAACTTGAATTTGAAATAAAACAATTTAACCATATTAGTGATATTTGTATATTTATTGATAATTTTCTGCTTGTCAATGTTGTTCGTAAATAAACAAAATGTAATGAGAAAAAGAGCTGAATGATGGCGCAACGACTAGCTTTTTCGATCTGTCATCCTGGAAGCACTTTTTGCAATTGCCAGGCGCAAGATGGATGACCACAGGCAAGCTAAACTATTGGTCCCTTCAGCTTATGCAATCGCTAGCACCCACTTAAGAAGGATTTGAAGAATGACCTGCGCTAGTAAGCAGCACTGAGCCGAAAGGTCTACTTCAATTCAATTCAATATCGTTTATTCAGTCTAGGCTGTTACAAGCACTTGTGAATGTCGAAAAGCTACGCCATCGGTTCGCAAATCTACGGCGGGAGACCTTGTACTGAGAAGAACCGGCAAGAAACTCAGCGAGGGCTGTTTTTTTCTCAATTTGAACAATTATTGTCGTCAAATAGAAAAACGACTTCAATAAGAGATAACTCGTGAAGTCACTTTCCATTACAAATGTTATTCGTCATATCACGTATGTCGTCGTATTCTGTGGATCAAATGTTCTATAAATTCGCGCCAAAAACTTCATACAAAATACCTCATGTCACCGTGGCGCTAACTGATGACGTAAATTTTCCTAAACATCCTGGTTTGAACTGAGTCCGTGTGAGATCTCATGACCCGTTTCTCTTATTTCGTCTATGATATGGTAGGCCTGCACCCCAGCAGTGAGAACATTATTCAAATTATGATGATATGAAATATACATAACTATGAACAAGGCTCACATTTGATTTGCCCATTTCATTCAGACGGAAACTAACGTTTATTAAGTTTAAAATTTTTATTTTATTTTTGTTGACAATAGAATGTCTTCCTCCGGTTGAGAATTATAATGAATTTGCTGTGTTACTTCAGGTTTTCAACTTTTTTATGTATCAAATGCGTTAATTAAACGGATTTATTGCTATGGTTCTTTAATTATTTCTTAAAACCGACCAAGTACTTGTCGTGCCACGCGCAGCGTAGAGATCCGTAGTTGCATGTAGTTACCACAATATTAAATAAAACTAGTTTTTTACGGGTTAATGCACGAAACTTTATTTATTTATTGACGTTTCGTAGCCTTTACAGGCTACGTCGTCAGAATCAAATTTTATTTAATTTTGTCGAGCTACCTTCGAAAGACTTCTTATTGAGCGTTCGGTTATTTCATTATTCGATTTTTTTTTATTGTCTATGTATGAATTTATTACTTAATTTAGTTAATAAAGTACTTTATTTAAAATTCTTTTTGTAATTTTGAGTTTATTTATTTGACCCTAACTACCGTAAACTACCACCGGTTCCAAAATTGGGAGACCTTACTGAGAAGAACCGGCGAAACAAACTCAAGAGAGGCTTTCTATCTCCTTCTTATGTTAAATTATGCAAACAAAAAGAACTAATAGTATCTGTTGGTCTTGCAGTGTGTGCTCGGGCTTGGGATTTTATCTCCTGTATAATGGGTTCCCAAGCTGGTGGTATATACCAACCATCTTCCCTATTGAAATTTGGATATTTTTTAATCTCAATAGCCTCGCGTATCATTCTAGGAACGAAACGTTGCTCAGTTGCAAGGATCTGTGGTTTATCAAATCTAATATAATGGTTTGGTCCCCCTAATGCATGTTTCGTGTTTGTGACCAAACCATTACATTAGATTTGATAAACCACAGATCCTTGCAAAATAACCGAACGCTCAATAAAAAGTCTTTCGAAGGTAGCTCGATAAAATTAAATAAAATTTGATTCTGACGACGTAGCCTGTAAAGGCTACGAAACTTCAATAAATAAATAAAGTTTCGTGCATTAACCCGTAAAAAACTAGTTTTATTTAATGAGTGATGTGCGTGAAGAAACAAATACCACAGTATAATTTGAGCTCTACAAGGGCGTCGCCAAGGGGGGCAGTGGGGGGGGGGGGCAACGGCCTTTGCGTCAGATCAAATGTAGCTAGCAATCGACTAAAGTGCGAGCAATTGACTTCCTTACCTATTATATTGCCCCATTGCCCCCCACTCCTTAGTCATAAGCTGGCGACGCCCTTGATTTTATATATCGGAAATTAAAAATACCAAATAATATCAATCTATGTATCTCAACTCAAATACTTAAATCAAAGTCAAACTTCGTCTCAAACTAAAAATTAATTCGTCATTAAATACAAAACTAAAATTCCTAATTTTGTTAAAGGTGTAAAAATTAATAGTCGCGACTCGATAAGCATTGGCGTAGCTAGGAATTTCTCCTAGGATTTTTCCTAGGGGTATTGTTGATTAAAGGTTGGATCACAAAGATCCCGGTAACAGACAGGAGTCGATAGAAGCTCAAAAATAGATCGCTTTAATGATCAAAAGTAGAGCAATAGCTCACCGCACTAAACGGGCCCAATGCAGATTAATTGGTGATAAAGACAGCAGATGCAGTAACGAAGAGTTCAAGGTGATAAAGCTGTGGTCACCAAACCGTTGGCTTGCCATTGCGGAAGATGCATAGCTCCAATAATCGCAGACCAGCGGTAGCGCAAAGCTACCCCCTGCAATAAAGCAAGCGCAAAAAATAAACAGAAATATGTACATAACTTTATATCAAATCAAATAATTACCTAATTACTTCTTACAAGCGGCCTATCGGAACTTTATCCGTGTTATATTTAGTTTTTTGAGAATTCCTTAGAAACCTAACATTTTACCGGTATAAAAATGCCTTCGTTCCAGATCACAAACTAGCTATAATGTGTACTGACCCAAATGTCATCCAAATTCGTCCAGTATATATAAATAAAACCAAAATTTAATAACCGGTGTAAAATAAATAAACAGTTTATAAGAAGTTAGTATTATAGAAAATTACTTATAGATGACAACGTACTATTTATTTCTTATGTTTGGTCATCAATCATTTAACCCTTAATTTATGCACAAAGAATATTACATAACTGCTAGCACGCGGTCACAGGTGTGACCAAATTGTAGGAATTGTTAAAATTATTTTATTTATCAGCCAATACATATACTAAATATTTTTTGCCAAAAATAGCGCTTCAGTGCTATTGTTTACCTTTGTTTTCGACGGGTGGATCCTGCTATACTATATCTATTACAAGCCACGAGTTAGTTTAGGCGCCAGTCTCCTTACAAATATTTGTTGAGCACTAAACTGATAATTTTATATAAATATAAGACATTATTTGTGAAGTGAAAATAAAACTTTATTATTATTTCAGAAAAGTTCGTGGATGCCGCGGCCTCCGCCTCAGTGTCGCCTTCTCCACCCCTAGCGGAGTATGAGAGAGACTCCCCTGTGGATGTGTCATCGACTTCAGAAGCGGGCTCCGCTAGCGGGGCCGCGGGCGGCTCCCGGGCGCTCTCGCCGCCTCCCCGCAACCCCCAGCTCACGGAGCGATGGTCAAGCGAAGAGATGCGCCACATCCAGTGCCATCTCGAGACGAAGGAGCTCTGGGACAAGTTCAACGAACTCGGAACGGAAATGATCATCACCAAGACTGGGAGGTTAGTGCATAGTAATTACAACCAGAGGAAATTTAACAACGAATTTTGACAGCTCCGTAATCGTATCGCATCGTCAAAGTTTCTATGAAAACTAAGCACCAACCGGACGTAAAAACTTACTAGCTCCTTCCATACAAAATTTTACGATAACGACACGATTTTGGAGCTGTCAAAATTCGTGCTTGGGCCTCTGATTCCTATTGATGATTCATTACTACTGATTCGACTCAATCAACCAACAATCAAAGAAGTGCATAAGACAAGCTTATGTGATAATTTTCCAACAAGACTTCGTCATCAAAATGAAAACCACACCAAAACGCGGAGCGATTATGACGTTGTTAACTCAATGCAGGTTGCAGGTAATAGATGTATCCAATCAATTAATAGGCTTTGTCGAAATTCGTTGAGAAATAAAAACTCCGTAGGTATGTAATCGGTCTGCAACCGAATCGCGATAGATTAACGAGATCAAGGTAATGTCAGGAGTCGATAAGGTTGGTGGTACGGTGGACGCGGCGGCGGCGCAGGCGGCGGTGCGAGGCGTGTCGGTCGCGCGCACCGCGGCCAACAATGGGCAATCGCCGACCGCTGCCACCGCGAGTGTGGTAGCCAACAAACAGGGTTGCCATACAAGAAATCGGAGCGATGATTGTTAGTTTCAACTGCTTTAATATGCCTTTTAATTGAGTTGTGCAGAACTTATGAATTAGATTCGGTTGGAATCCTTTAAGGTTCTGTGGTCACAATACATGAATGTAGGTGTATTAAAGTTATTGCTGTCATTGTCTTTGCTATAACAATAGAGTAAGATGAGTGTGTGACTTAAAACTTTATATATATATATACATATATTTTGAATGTGTTTAAGTATAAAAATATTATCCTACAACAACAATTTAACCAATCAGCTTTCTAATCACAACAATCACAAAACATGGAAACAACGTAAAGTTAAAAAGTATAAAATCTCGCTAGCATCCTAACTATATAAAGCAGAGAACTTGCTACTAAAAAATATTGAGTTTTTCACGAAAAATACGAACCCTATACGACTTGTTCCAATCTTATAAGAATTTTAATGCAATTGTTGTTCCTCCCTTGTCCCTCTCAATACAGCCAATTGTACTTCGATGTAGGGCGGCGTTAATGACGCGTGGAGCTCTGCATTTTTATTGTTCTCATAATTCGTGTCTTGGCTGTTTCTCTAGTTAAACAGTTTTGGACCACACCGTATTGAAGCTGATATTGTTACCGTCATTTTAAATTGTATAAGCTACCGTAGTACAGTACTTAGTATAGGACGCCCAGAACTGTTTTTTTTTTATAGACAATATGTAGAAAATTACTCAAAATTTTAATTTGTGTGATACTATAACGACAATAAATAACCAATATTGTGAAAACCTCAGATTAAAATATTTATTTTAACTTTTTTCTATAACTTATGGTTTATCTTAAAGGCAGGCATGTTTGACATTAATACCTATTAAATTCGCTTGAAAAAAAAAATACAGTTTGAGATGTTCTATTCTTGTTTCCATCATGTGTCCCTACCACCTTATAAATGGAATGTTTAATTGCTTTATTTGTGCGGAAAGATTTTCAATCGTACAGTAAAAACAGTGACAAACATTCACACTATACTGGTGTATGTGTAAGTGCGAATAAGCTGACCAATGAGCAGAGAACATCAGTCAAATCGAGCAGACTTACTCATGTCATGGGGTCGACGGTATATAACTTAATACCAAAATTGGTCACTGACGCCAAGTATCATAATAATTATGCTTTAGCTCAATGTCCGAAGACATTCAATTTACCATGTAGTAAGCCTTGCTACGAAGTTCCTTCGTCACACGTTTAGAGAGAGTATTTTAAAAAAAAAGTTATGGCTCATTGTCAGCACTTTTTTAAGTGTCGATTAAATTTTGAATGATAAATCCATGCATTAATTGGACTGATTAATATATTTTTTTAATATGTAATGTAATTTTTATTATTCATTAATTTTTGTTTCATTATTGCAATTTGTATTTGACATTTAACTTTATTTAAGTATAAATATTGTGTTTAATTTTTTTTAACTCTGCAAAGTATTTTTAATATAATTTGAAATTGACATGAGAATTGAATTCTGACATTTTGAATTCATTGAATGTTTGGTTAGTACTCTATGTATTTCTATTCTGAAATTTATGATTGACGCACTATGGCCTTATGGCCGTACTGTTATCAGTATGACCCACCACGCGGGCCAAGTGCAGATTGGAGTATGCTAACGACATCGCAACTGACCGACGGCGACGGCTTGCCTTACCTTTCGAAGAACAAGTGCTCGAGATAATAAATTATTGGTCATCCATCCAATGACCGGCAATTACGAAAGTGGCTTAACTTCGATGATCGCAAACCGAATGCGTTAACCGATTGCACCACAAGCTCCTCCATGTTCTTGTGTTATTAATGATTATTACGTACTTATATTATTTTGAAAACGTGTCACTTAGGTAAAATATAAAAATAACTCTACAATAACTTAAATTTGGTTTAAGCAATATGTCTTTGGATTGGAGGCATCATGGGACTTCTGTGGGGTTCGTTGTAACTGGTCAATGTCACCAACCTTATTTTACTCCAATTCGTGACTCCAACTATCGCCTATCACTAGGAGCTAGAATACATAAGTATATTTAGTGGGTGATATCAGTACAAAAGGTGTTATCGAGTAGCTATGCTAGGCGCGACGGTTGCCACGTTATCGTAACCATTGTAAATCAAAGTGCGACAGCTCACCGATCGTGACAAATTCCCGACCTAATCTTTCGATAACAACTTTTGCTTACACTAATACCCCCAGTCCGGCCAGGCCAAACTCTCACCACGATAAATTATTTAAAATAAGTCCACTGTAGGCATCCACTAATTCATTCCAGTCACTAATTAGCGAGCCCTAGTCCATTTCACAGTGTGTTCTCGAATATTTAATGCTATATAAATACGTCACCTCAAAATAAATTTTAACAAAGCCGGGTATAGTGCGCAAAACAATGAAGGTTCTTTCACGGACTATAAAGTCGTATTAATACCTCACTTATTTATTCCTTATAATGTTCTCGAGTTAACGACGCCTCGGGCATTCAGTTTTTTCCACCACGCACCATAAAATACGACATCTGGAAATATATGCCAGTCGTATTTATTTCCAAACTTAGCGGACCAGAACAGTCCGCGTGCATGTTTAATACTGTGTTGATTCGTATTAATTCTATAACCATAAAACGAACGTGTCAGCACAACTTTTACTAAAGTCCGTTTATTTTCTATTTTTTATTTTATTTTTATGTGTTTCAAATATTATGAACTGGTGGATTCGCCACGGTCACGACTAGTTATAGGATGCGATAGCAAAAGCAACAATAAAGGACTTTGGGAAGTCGCAATGGGAGACAATTTGCCACACACCGTCACGCGAGCTTATCCGAGTCGGCCTCGTCGATTAGCATAAATCTCACCAACTAACCGTCGCAAATGTAGCGGGCGCGGGAAGGGGCGCAAGCACAGCACAGCTAAACAAACTGACGTGAGCGTCGATGCGATCGCGCAACGCTCGCATGTCGCCGCGGCGACGCGCGACGAATCGCGAGCGTCCCTCGCCCGTATAAATCAGTATTATCTCGCGAGATAGCCGCGCGCCTGGACCCACCCCGCCATATCATGCAGAGCCCCGTGTCGTTCGAAAAAATTAATGACTCGGAAAAACGATTCGCTTATGAGGGATCTTTCACTGTAATTGAATTGCCCCACAGAGATCTGCCAAATTGTCAAATAATGTTGCGAGAACGAACACCGACTCTGTTGAGTCAGATACACTTAAAAATATATTATAATTCTAATGTGTTATTTTAGGATTCTATAAATGTAAAGGAATTAGGATTTTTTCTGTTTAAGTCAATTACCGTAACAAATGTTAGTTGGTATAACTAAAAAATCTAATCATACTTATTTAAAATTCATCATTGAGAGGCTGTTGGCACTGCTGTCATGATAAACCTTGTAAAGATATTAAAGTTGGTGTATTTTTTGTAACTCCATTTTTAGCGTAAATTTAAGTTCTATAAAACGAATCTTATCATCAATCTTTATGAAATAACCATAATCTATTTAGAGTGAGTTTAAACGCTTATTAAGCTTAATAGCATTAAGAAAAAAAATGTACACTGTAAATCCGAGTAGATTGTTGCAGTAACCCCCTGGAGATTAACATAACAGGCGTAATAGAATAATGTAAATATTTTACGTCTGTCTGTCCACCGTTAGTTGCCATGCTAATCGGGGAGCAGTGTGGTAATACAAGCTTCGTTTTAAAACCTGCCCCTTTGTGTACTGCTTTGTTAGTTAATTCAACAGGGACCCATTTTTCACTCGCTCTGCAAATATTTTGATGTTTATCGGGAACAAAGCTTTCGAAGATTGCGAGCGGACACTTCATTCTGATGTTAGTAGTTTCTTATTGTTTTTCACTGTTCATCTATTTGGTTTGTAGAATCATTTTCTAGCGATTTGATAAAAAATACGTATAATTCATACCAAAACTAGTTTCTTAGAACTTCAGAAATTGATAAATGATGCTTTTGTATTTTTTCACCTTGTGTTTTTTATTTATCAGAACCATTTTATCTGCACCTATTACCGTTTTACGATTACGCAGTGCGCGGATAGTTTTAAATTAACATGTATTCATGATAGAATGCTTACATTATATATCTGGGACAGGACTGTTGAAGATGTTTCTGTTGATCGCGTTGCCAACACTTTGATCGCAGCGCCTCGGACTTGGCAGACAACAGCCACTCTGATTTACTTCTCACCACCATTCTATCCATCATAAATCTCATCCATAAAATATTACAGTAAACATATCCCTGTGTTCTCTGAACTTCGCAAATTCGGACAAATCGTAATAAATTATCGAGCTTTAAAATATTAACGTGTCGTTG